TAATACAGATCAGAGAAAAGATCTAATTGACATAGAAGTAATGAAGCTGGTACAATGGTGGGTGCCAAGATCCCTCTGGAATTTCTTCTTAGTTAGTCTGGGGTTTATTTTCCACAACTGTTTATAGAAAGTTATTGATTTCTCTGTTTTAATTTGAGTATTGGGCATGACATTTTTCTGCAGCATGGAATGTTATAATTATTATGATTTAAATTACAATTTTTAGTTGATAGTCAACTTGCCAGTGCCTTTTATATAAAAGAACCGAGAGCATGAATCCATTATTAATTTCTGTGAATGGTTATTTTGTAATTGAATGTGACTTGTGGATTGAAGCATGATCAGATAAGATTGATAACAGTCCTTTGTAAGAGGAGAGCTTTGTACTTTCTGCTACAATAGCTTACTTCCACTGAGTGTAACACTTAATTAATGAAATGGGGATAAAGGATAATGCTGATTTAAGGAAGGAAAACAATGGATCTTGATGATCACTCCGTTTTACAGGGGACATTCTGCATCAATTTCTGCTAAATTTAAATCTTAAAAAACTACATATTCTTTTTCTGAAGATTGGAAATACCTAGAGTCTTGATATTTGGCCAGTAGTGTGTTGCTTGTATGGAGTGCTGCAAATTCTACAAAAAAACCCAACTTATATTCAAGGTTACAGGGGTGAAATTTATTAAAAATGTAAATGACTTTTTCTGCAGAATAGATAGAGGTAGAGTCATGACAATTGACGCAAATTTGTGCCGTAGTTTGCTGACATGGAGTGCTACTAGGTTTGAGAAGAAATGAACTTGACCTATATTCAAGGTCATATAGGTCAAATTTGCTCAAACTTGAAACAAGTTCTTCTGAAGAATGAAAAAACCTACAGTCGTGATATTTGGCCTGTAACTTCCTTTGAAGGTTTGCAAAAAGCAATGATCTTTACCTGTATTCACGGTCACTGATCTTTACCTGTATTCACGGTCACTGATCTTTACCTGTATTCACGGTCAATGATCTTTACCTGTATTCACGGTCACTGATCTTTACCTGTATTCACGGTCAATGATCTTTACCTGTATTCACGGTCACTGTGGTCAAATTTATTTAAAAACTTATAGGACCTCCTGTGAATATAAAAAAGAACTACTCTTGAAATTTTGCCAGTACCCTGATGGCATTGGGGAGTTAAAAAGTTTTCAAAAAAGAACGAACCTTTACTTCAGGTCATACATGTAAGTGTTTAATTTGTCAAAATACTCCAATGACTTCCTATTGGCATGGAGTGCTAGAAAATTTGATAAGAAAAACCATATTGATCAGGTGAGCATCTGCAGGCCCCTTGGCCCTCCTGTTCTTTCTGATGGTGTCTAGTTTAAAGACACATTGGGTAAGTCCATTGTCAGTGTAATGTAAATGGGTGTAGTGTCATACTGTCGTGTCCCTGTACATTGAGACAACACTACCAAGTGGGTGTAGTGTCATACTGACGTGTCCCGGGACATTGAGACAACACTACCAAGTTGGGGTAGTGTCATACTGACGTGTTCCGGTACATTGAGACAACACTACCAAGTGGGTTTCATGTCATACTGAAGTGTCCCGGTATATTGAGACAACACTACCAAGTGGGTGTAGTGTCATACTGTCGTGTCCCTGTACATTGAGACAACACTACCAAGTGGGTGAAGTGTCATACTGACGTGTCCTGGTACATAGAGACAACACTACCAAGTGGGTGTAGTGTCATACTGACGTATTCCAGTACATTGAGACAACACTACCAAGTTGGTGTAGTGTCATACTGACGTGTCCCGTTACATTAAGAGAACACTACCAAGTGGGTGTAGTGTCATACTGATGTGTCCCGGTACATTGAGACAACACTACCAAGTGGGTGTAGTGTCATACTTTTGTGTCCCGTTACATTGAGACAACACTACCAAGTGGGTGTATTGTCATAGTGACGTGTCCCGTTACATTGAGAGAACACTACCAAGTGGGTGTAGTGTCATACTGACGTGTCCCGTTACATTGACACAGAACTTCCAAGTGGGTTTCGTGTCATACTGACGTGTCCCGGTACATTGAGACAGAACTACCAAGTGGGTGTAGTGTCATACTGACGTGTCCCGGTACATTGAGACAGAACTACCAAGTGGGTGTAGTGTCATACTGACGTGTCCTGGTACATTGAGACAACACTACCAAGTAGGTGTAGGGTTATACTGTCGTATCCCGGTACATTGAGACAGAACTACCAAGTAGGTGTAGTGTCATACTGACGTGTCCCAGTACATTGAGACAACACTACCAAGTTGGTGTAGTGTCATACTGACGTGTCCCGGTACATTGAGACAACACAGCCGAGTGGGTTTCATGTCATACTGACGTGTCCCGGTACATTGAGACAACACTACCAAGTGGGTGTAGTGTCATACTGACGTGTCCCGTTACATTGACACAGAACTTCCAAGTGGGTTTCGTGTCATACTGACGTGTCCCGGTACATTGAGACCACACTACCAAGTGGGTGTAGTGTCATACTGTCTTATCCCGCTGCATTGAGACAACACTACCAAGTGGGTGTAGTGTCATACTGACGTGGCCCGGTACATTGAGACACCACTACCAAGTTGGTGTAGTGTCATACTGACGTGTCCCGGTACCTTGAGACATCACTACCAAGTTGGTGTAGTGTCATACTGACGTGTCCCGGTACATTGAGACAACACTACCAAGTGGGTGTAGTGTCATACTGTCGTGTCCGGGGGCCCTGTACATTGAGACAACACCACCAAGTGGGTGTAGTGTCATACTGTCGTGTCACGGTACATTGAGACAACACTACCAAGTTGGTGTATAGTGTCATACTGACGTGTCCCGTTACATTGAGACAACACTACCAAGTTGGTGTAGTGTCATACTGTCGTATCCCGCTGCATTGAGACAACACTTTAAAGTGTGTGTAGTGTCATACTGACGTGTCCCGGTACATTGAGACAACACTACCAAGTGGGTTTCGTGTCATACTGTCGTGTCCCGTTACATTGACACAGAACTTCCAAGTGGGTGTAGTGTCATACTGACGTGTCCCGGTACATTGAGACAACGCTACCAAGTAGGTGTAGTGTCATACTGACGTGTCCCGTTACATTGAGACAACACTACCAAGTGGGTGTAGTGTCATACCGACGTGTCCTGGTACATTGAGACAACACTACCAAGTGAGTGTAGTGTCATACTGACGTGTCCTGGTACATTGAGACAACACTTCCAAGTGGGTGTAGTGTCATACTGACGTGACCTGGTACATTGAGACAACACTACCAAGTAGGTGTAGTGTCATACTGCCGTGTCCTGGTACATTGAGACAACACTACCAAGTAGGTGTAGTGTCATACTGTCGTGTCCTGGTACATTGAGACAACACTACCAAGTAGGTGTAGTGTCATACTGACGTGTCCCGTTACATTGAGACAACACTTCCAAGTGGGTGTAGTGTCATACTGACGTGTCCTGGTACATTGAGACATCACTACCAAGAGGGTGTAGTGTCATACCGACGTGTCCCGGTACATTGAGACAGAACTTTCAAGTAGGTGTAGTGTCATACTGACGTGTCCCGGTACATTGAGACAACACTACCAAGTGGGTGTAGTGTCATACTGACGTGTCCCGTTACATTGACACAGAACTTCCAAGTGGGTGTAGTGTCATACTGTCGTGTCCCGGTACATTGAGACAACACCACCAAGTGGGTGTAGTGTCATACTGACGTGTCCTTGTACATTGAGATGACGTGGCCCTGGTGTGGCGACGTCATCTATGGACGTCATCATTTAATCAGCTCAGATGTTACAACAAAACCCTGAACAGTTAGATATATAGAGGTCCCCTAGGACTTCATATCAGGGCTAATCTTCAATTCACTGTGTAGCACATTTAATGAATGAAAGGTTCTCTATTGTCAAATTCTTCAAATCTCATCTTCATTCAAAGGTTTTCTTTTTCATTAACTTAGATCTTTTGTGCAACACTTGTATTATTTCAAAAATTTGACAACCATTTGAAAAGCATACCTCTTTAATCTGTTAAAGCAAAGCAGTTAAGGTTTACTTGTATTACCCAAGTAATAGAGTAAGTTTGAAGATATCTGGTTTGTGTGGTGGAGAAGGTATCTGAAGTGTCTTCTGATTTTAGTAGATAGCTGCAGTGTCTTCTGATTTTAGTAGATATCTAAAGTGTCTTCTGATTTTAGTAGATATCTGAATTGTCTCCTGATTTTAGTAGATATCTGAAGTGTCTTCTGATTTGAGTAGATACCTGAAGTGTCTTCTGATTTGAGTAGATACCTGAAGTGTCTCCTGAATTGAGAAGATATCTGAATTGTCTCCGGAATTGTTTAGTTCCTTTGCTAACAAATGCAGTTTCATTGTCCTGTAATAAGTTCATCCTCCTAATTTGAGGATATGTTGGCCCCAGGGTTTATTGGAGGATATATACAGTAACATGTTAACAGTTTGCCTCATATAACCAGCATTCTTACCATGTATGCAGACTACATGTCTAGAATATACTCGACAATCTTATTGTTTAAAAAGTTGTTTTGATAACACTAGTTTTGATATTTTATGTTTTCATCAGAACAGTTAGATGATGATTTAAGCCAAAGTTCTCTCTAAAATATGTCATTCTTATAACCTACTTGGTCTGGTAGAGTACACATTTTGATACAGAACCTTGCGGAAGGTATGAATTAGATACACGAGAAGTGAGTTCCGCACTGAATGGATCATTACCAAGTCTTTATCATAGCATCACCAGATTAACAAGCTACAAGGACTGCTTGGGAAATCCTTTCCTTTGCCCAAGTTGCAAGTTTTCTGAAATAAGTAAGTCTGGTTTTCATAAAGTTGGACGATAATCTGTAGTGAAAGTTGAATATAAGCATAGGGTTATATCTGTCTTGTATAATTTATCAATGGTTTCTTTGAACTTTGCAGCTGAAAAAAGATGGTCAGAAGCTGTCAAAACAGGACAAAAGAGCAGAACAACTCCTGAAAAAAGTAACAAAGGACATCCAAAAAATAAAGCGCACAAACCCCAACTGTAATGCCAACACATTCAGGTATGTTTTACTGTAGGACTGATGGTAGCAGGTGTTCATCCTTCCAGTTCAATTAATTCAAATAGCACATGTAAAATACCCTAGCTGCTTAATTTTTAACCTTTAGTGTTTTAAAAAGAAAAGGGAAGCTTTTCCTCAGTGTTAACTCTGCTTTTGGGTTTGGAGGCTTTAATTACCACCATTGTAAAGTCTCCAAAGACAGAAGTCTGGAAATAGTGGACAGAAATGTCAGGATTGTCAGAAACCATAGAAACGCATGATGCTTTCCTCCAAATATTGGGTTAAAAGTGATTGACTGTGTTCTGATCTGTTGTATTTCAACTGATCGCCTTATATAAGAAGCTGAGGTAACCAAACTTCTCTTTGTTCAGACTGTAAAAAATATATAAACAAGGCATGATACTAAAAGACTAGCTCCTAATTCTTGAGTTGTTGTCTGGGTTGACAGGGAGAAGATGGCGTTCTTTACCACAGTAAACATGCTGGTACCTGTCGTGGCACCAGAGTGCAGCAGTGACAACCCTGGTTTTGAAGAGTTCCATAAAGAATCTGTCGTGACACCAGAGGTGGAAGGGAACAGTGACGACGCACGCTTTGGCGAGTTTCTCAAAGATGAGCGTGTCGGTCAAGAGGTGTGATAGTATTGTCATCCAGAAATGTGAAATCAACCTTCTGTGTACAAAACTGATAAGGTCAACACAAACAGACGTTGTTACCTCCATGTACAGAAGGGCCCCAACCTCTGTTTACTGAACAAGGCAGTCGTTTAATCACAAACACAAGGCGAAAACGGTCACAAAGGTCAACCTTAAACTGGGCAAGGTAGTGGTGACATTTCACTTGCTGCTTGTCAGACGAGGAAGTAGAGGCGGTTTGTACAAATGGTATTAAGAGTTCACAGACTGGATTTTCTATGTCGGATGCTCCCTGCATGCAGGAATAGTTTCGGGCATTGAAGACGAATTCACATTTGGACGGGTATTGTTGAAGGGATTGGAGTGTACCTTTCTCTGTGGATTTGTTTTTGACTGCAAATTACCGGTTAATGATATTGAGGGCCTAGAAAATAAGCCAAATTACTCAGAAGCAAGTGCTGAATTTTACCTGGACTTGATGAGTTTTTGCTAGACAATTCATTCCAAATATTTGTATAAGTGTGCCCTGTTCCAACATTGTCCCCAGATTTTGTACACAATAATGTTCATGATATGAAATGAAAGTTTAATAGTCAAGATAATTTTATTTCTAAAATAATGTCCAGAAGTTTGCAGCTTTCATAAATTTAGAGACCAAGGAAGTAATTGTGGGAAATTTATTTTTTCTGACTATTCCAGCTGAAGTTAATGAGGTTACACTGAATACATCTTTTTAAATTCATCTGACTTCTATGTCAAATAAAAATTACATTTCTGCATTTAACTTAATAAGTGCCCCTGGTGTTCATTTGGAAAAAGTTAGAATGATAGCAGATACATTACTTCACATAAGGTGGTGAATTATGGTGGAGGAATGACATGCAAAACAAGAGAAAGGCATAGGGGCACTGATAAGTGATAGCACATTTATTTGATCAATACTACAGATTTCTGAGTTAACCGTTGACTCTCTTGTATCTGGTACTGACTTGACACTGACATCAGAAAGGCTGTAATCGGGGCTACTGTGTTGGAGCTGGGTACAATCTGTATGTAAGGACCCCTACTGACTGGTTTGTTGGAGCTGGGTACAATCTGTGTGTAAGGACCCCTCCTGACTGGTTTGTTGGAGCTGGGTACAATCTGTGTGTAAGGTCCCCTACTGACTGGTTTGTTGGAGCTGGGTACAATCTGTGGGTAAGGACCCCTACTGACTGGTTTGTTGGAGCTGGGTCCAATCTGTGTGTAAGGACCCCTACTGACTGGATTGTTGGAGCTGGGAACAATCTGTGTGTAAGGACCCCTACTGACTGCTTTGTTGGAGCTGGGTACAATCTGTGTGTAAGGCCCCCTACTGACTGGTTTGTTGGAGCTGGGTACAATCTGTGTGTAAGGACCCCTACTGACTGATTTGTTGGGGCTGGGGACAATCTGTGTGTAAGGACCCCTACTGACTGGTTTGTTGGATCTGGGTACAATCTGTGTGTAAGGACCCCTACTGACTGATTTGTTGGGGCTGGGTACAATCTGTGTGTAAGGACCCCTACTGACTGGTTTGTTGGATCTGGGTACAATCTGTGTGTAAGGACCCCTACTAACTGGTTTGTTGGAGCTGGGTACAATCTGTGTGTAAGGACCCCTCCTGACTGGTTTGTTGGAGCTGGGTACAATCTGTGGGTAAGGACCCCTACTGACTGGTTTGTTGGAGCTGGGAACAATCTGTGTGTAAGGACCCCTACTGACTGGATTGTTGGAGCTGGGAACAATCTGTGTGTAAGGACCCCTACTGACTGGTTTGTTGGATCTGGGTACAATCTGTGTGTAAGGACCCCTACTAACTGGTTTGTTGGAGCTGGGTACAATCTGTGTGTAAGGTCCCCTACTGACTGGTTTGTTGGAGCTGGGTACAATCTGTGTGTAAGGACCCCTACTGACTGGGATGTTGGAGCTGGGTACAATCTGTGTGTAAAGACCCCTTGCCCGTTTTCCATAGCTGTTTTATCAGAAAGTTTGATAACGATTATTGTCGGTAATGTCCTGTGGTTTTGGAGTAGATGTATTTCTATGTAGCTGAAGTAAAAGCCAAAATCTACATATCTTTACATCATGTTTTACCAAATGTTACAGGTTCCTAGGCATAACAACTATGGCAATTTAACTTGTATTGAAAACTTGCAGTTATAAAATTTGATAGATGATATATTCACTCTTGGCTACAAAAATGTTTCATATGATATAGGTCAAAATGAAAAGTCAAAGGTCATTGATATTGTAGTTTGTGTGTCTTTAAGTTCCTATGTGTACATTTACCAGTGATTATAAAACGTTTAGCTTACATAGCCTGCAAACCTCATACCGTGTTGGGTGAGTGGGGGGATTGTTTGAGTAAACCTTATACCATGTTAGGTGAGTGGGGGAATTGTTTGAGCTAACCTCATACCATGTTGGGTGAGTGGGGGGATTGTTTGAGCTAACCTCATACCATGTTGGGTGAGTGGGGGAATTGTTTGAGCTTACCTCATACCATGTTGGGTGAGTGGGGGAATTGTTTGAGCTAACCTCATACCATGTTGGGTGAGTGGGGGGATTGTTTGAGCTAACCTCATACCATGTTGGGTGAGTGGGGGAATTGTTTGAGCTTACCTCATACCATGTTGGGTGAGTGGGGGAATTGTTTGAGCTAACCTCATACCATGTTGGGTGAGTGGGGGGATTGTTTGAGCTAACCTCATACCATGTTGGGTGAGTGGGGGAATTGTTTGAGCTTACCTCATACCATGTTGGGTGAGTGGGGGAATTGTTTGAGCTAACCTTATACCATGTGGGGTGAGTGGGGGAATTGTTTGAGTAAACCTTATACCATGTGGGGTGAGTGGGGGAATTGTTTGAGTAAACCTTATACCATGTTGGGTGAGTGGGGGAATTGTTTGAGTAAACCTTATACCATGTTGGGTGAGTGGGGGAATTGTTTGAGTAAACCTTATACCATGTGGGGTGAGTGGGGGAATTGTTTGAGTAAACCTTATACCATGTGGGGTGAGTGGGGGAATTGTTTGAGTAAACCTTATACCATGTTGGGTGAGTGGGGGAATTGTTTGAGTAAACCTTATACCATGTTGGGTGAGTGGGGGAATTGTTTGAGTAAACCTTATACCATGTTGGGTGAGTGGGGGAATTGTTTGAGTAAACCTTATACCATGTTGGGTGAGTGGGGGAATTGTTTGAGTAAACCTTATACCATGTTGGGTGAGTGGGGGAATTGTTTGAGTAAACCTTATACCATGTTGGGTGAGTGGGGGAATTGTTTGAGTAAACCTTATACCATGTTGGGTGAGTGGGGGAATTGTTTGAGTAAACCTTATACCATGTTGGGTGAGTGGGGGAATTGTTTGAGTAAACCTTATACCATGTTGGGTGAGTGGGGGGATTGTTTGAGTAAACCTTATACCATGTTGGGTGAGTGGGGGGATTGTTTGAGTAAACCTTATACCATGTTGGGTGAGTGGGGGGATTGTTTGAGTAAACCTTATACCATGTTGGGTGAGTGGGGGGATTGTTTGAGTAAACCTTATACCATGTTGGGTGAGTGGGGGGATTGTTTGAGTAAACCTTATACCATGTTGGGTGAGTGGGGGGATTGTTTGAGTAAACCTTATACCATGTTGGGTGAGTGGGGGGATTGTTTGAGTAAACCTTATACCATGTGGGGTGAGTGGGGGAATTGTTTGAGTAAAAGAGAGGGAGGATTACCTCATTAATTTTGTTGTCTGTGAGATTGCTTCATACAACAATCTTTTTCATGATGGTCTGAAAACCAAACGCACAATTACTTTTATTATTGTTGTATGAGACATAATATGACCATTTTTTCCACTGATTGAAACCTCCCTAAAATATAACGGGGACACTAGCCAATAAGGAACATACATTTTACCATGAGCAAGTCAAATGAATTTTTAAATGACATTTTAACATGTCAAGAAATGAACGAACAAAATCAAAATTTTATATTAAATCACTGTTGAGCTCAAATCATTAAATTTAAGCTAATTACAATCAAATATTGTTTAAGTATGAAGTGTTCTATACAGTGTAACTGTGCTGTGATTAGGAGGTTTCCTGGTCAGAGTGGTGGAGTACTTGAGGGTAATCTTGGTGGAGAGGTTTTAGTGTGACTCCATTGTTGGAAGTTACTACACTGTCTGTGGATCATAAAATCATTTTTGATGTGCTAAGTCATGTTGTTTTCACCCTGTTGAACATTGTACTCGATACATATACAATATTATACCTTATATATCTCTTATGCCAGTAACAATACCACATTATACTTTATCTTTGATTTGTATTCTGTACCCTGTATGATAGTTTAAGGCCAATATATACTGAGTCATGTCGGACGCCATCAGCAATAAACACGCTCATAATATTCAACCAAATCTGGTACATACATTTGCTTATGTCTTCTGTTGACAGCCCAATATTCTTAACATAATTATATTCAAGATGTTACAAAAACTCATGAATTAAATTTTGGTGAAGTCTACGTATTTTATTTTATTCCAAATAACATGTTGATTTCCATATCATTTTATTTTTTCCCATCTGATAAATTACACTAAAAAATTGTAAAAATGTTGAAATTAAGATTTTAAAATGTTCCTCCTACAAATTATTATATTCTGTTAATTTCATTTTGTTTTCATATTGTGCAAATAACCAGTAATGCTGTTTTCATTTTAAGACCCTTGACATGGCCGGTTTATGACATTGTGTGTTAAAGACATATTGTACGATTTTGTCTCCTCATCATCAGTTTTCTAGCTGCCTCAGCCTCTGTACATAAATAGCTATATGCCTTTTTATATACTGTAATATTTTTTGTACATTATTTTAGCCAAATATGATTATGGTTGTACATACATTTTGTATATAAAGTAAAGTCATCAATTGAGATTATTCCTTTACTTGGTACATTTCCAGTTGAGGATAGCAGACAGAGACTTACAGACATGCTGCATTGTACAGAAGCAACAACGTCTGTGATGGAGAACGAGGCGCTCCGAGAATTCATTATTTTCTCATTGTTGTGATAATTTACATCTAGTTTTGAGTGTGAGATAACACACCGTTTAATGTACATATATCTATGTGATTTTGTTTTCGGTAAAAGTATATACCCATATAACTATTATATATCTATATATACATATTTACAGTCGTTTATTATCATATTTATTATCTCATGGTAGTTGTTGTTTCCAGCCTCCTGTCAACTCCTCTTCTTTCTTTCTACCAAAGCAGATTCTGAGCCGAAACATCATACCCTGTGACTGTTATGTCGCCCAGAATATTTTTATCAATATTACACTTTTTCTTTCCCATTTCTTGGACCATTTCATCAACTCGGACCATTTGATCACACCACCTTTTTGTACTGGTAAGAAATACACAACACATCATGTGCAACCTTTTTGAGCAATTATTCAAGAACGTAATTGTGTTGGGGTAGTCATTCCATACAACCATCTATTGATTGAAATGGTCGGCTATGTATTGTGGTGATATACTTTACATGTCTTGGGTTTAGTTCTAACCTGTTACAATAATTGTTTCGGCCAATATTGAATTAAGATAAATATTTTGTAGTAGTTATTGTAACTGAATGGTGAATTTGAGGTTTGAATGTGTTTTTGTGAGATAATAATTTCACAAGATGACCTGTATTTTCTAATAGCAATATTACTACTACATAACTCTAGGGATTCCAAGCTATTTAGTGTCATAGCTTTGGTATTAATTTTCACCCATTTTCACCAATGTTGTTTTTAATGTATTCCATAAAAAAACTTTGTATATTTTTGTCACATGAAAAAAAGTGTCATAATCTATCAAATGAAAGACATGCTTCGATGAAAAAAACAAAGATTTATATTTGATATTGTGCTGCTGAATACCACCATGTGATGGAATGGGGGAGTTGATTTCCTGTGATACATCACTGAAACGATATTAGGGGCGTGTCCACTATCTATTAATAGTTACACATTTATGGAGGTCGGCCTTAATCAAAATCTGGCCTAGAGTAACAAGTTGTTGGTACTTAATTAGGAGAAGATAATTTCTACTGCTAAATGTGAGATTTCTCGAGCTAATTGCATTCACTGTTGTTTAGCTCACAATTTTCACTTTTCATTTTTAACTGGTATTCTTTACGATATCATATCCCGGTGTTGACCTGAGCAAGCCTGTGGCAGGTCAGCCTATACTAGCTATAACCTTTGACCTATGACTGTAATGCCTATTACGGGACAGGGACGCGCCAGCTGTATGCTGGAGCATTACTGATCATATCTACAGTAACTACACTAACAACATCGGGGATAAATACAGTAGGAATGATTACTTGTTTCCAATAACAACAAAATGGTGTTATGATAACATTTTATCAGTGATAACTAAATGATGTGCATAACATTTTATAAAGTAAAACTACATATTGTTTATGATAACTTGTTATCAATGATACCGGCTGCATACTGTATGTAACATGTTATCACGGATAACTTAAACATAACATGATGGTATTAATGATAACATAATACTGTATACAGTATAACATCCAGTTATCATTGATAACTACAACAGTGTCTATGTGGTGGATATCATAACACCACAATATCAATGATATCATCAATGATAACATTTTATCAGTGATAACTACAGCGTATATATAACCTAAAACTCTGTCAGATACTCAGGTTAGATGCAACATCAAGTCAGCAAAAGTCCGTGTAACATTTATATTTTGCATAAATAAAGCAAAATATTGAAATAAGCTATTTTCTTGTTGTTATTTTATGACTTTCTAAATATTGGGATATTCAGACTAGTGAAACAAAAGAAGAAATAGTTAAAGTAATGTATAGAAAAAACAGGCTGTCAAGACTTGCTATATTCCCAATGTGCCTGCTTCGTTAGACTTGCTAT